TTAATGTTATTACATTATCAAGCCTGAAAAGAAAAATGAAGACGTTCAAGTGACTGCAGTACATTACACTACATCAAAAAACATTTGGTCCTTAACATAGTGAAGAATCCAGGATCCTTCAGCCATATACATACAACTTGGGTCAGACAGTGTTTAAAAACACTTGGTCTCTATAGTCTTTCCTGCTTCTGTGCAGGGAGTGAATCAGAGAAGATTGTGGAGGCTGTCAGTTCTCAAACTGTCTGATCCAAGGTGCGTGTATACAGGGACCTATTAGCCGCGAGGCAAACAAGGCATTTGCCTTGGGCGGCATTTTTCAATGCCCAGGGCAAATGCCTAGTTAGCCTTGCGGCTAACTGACATCCCGAGCGGGCGGGCGGCTCTGGTTGCTGTGCGGGCGGCTGGCGAGGGAGCACTTCCTCTGAGCTGACTGCTCAGCTCCCTTGCGCGCCGCAGAGTGAGGCTGGGAGCCGGAATATGACGTCATCTTCCGGCTCCCAGCCTCACTCTGCGGGCGGTGCGTGAGGGAGCTGAGCAGTCAGCTCAGAGGAAGTGCTCCCTCGCCAGCCGCCCGCACAGCAACCAGAGCCGCCCACCCGACCGACCGGCAGCCACTGGACCACCAGGGAGAGAGAGACCTCCCCCCCAGCACTCCCAAAGGTAAGGAGGTTGGGGGGGGGATTTAAATTTTAAAAAAAAGTTAATGTGTATGTGTGTCTGACTGTGTGTGTGTGTGTTTGACTGTGTGTGTTTGTGTCTGACTGTGTGTGTGTGTGTGTGTGTGTGTCTGTGTGTGTGTTTGTGTCTGACTGTGTTTGTGTCTGTGTGTGTGTGTCTGACTGTGTGTGTTTGTGAGTGACTGTGTGTGTGTGTTTGTGTCTGACTGTGTGTGTGTATGTGTGGAGTGTGTGTGTGTGTGTGTATGTGTGTGTTTGTGTTTGTGTCTGACTGTGTGTGTTTGTGTCTGGATTGTGTGTGTGTGTGTGTGTGTCTGACTGTGTGTGTTTGTGAGTGACTGTGTGTGTGTGTTTGTGGCCTGAATTGTGTGTGTGTTTGTGTCTGACTGTGTTTGTGTCTGTGTGTGTGTATGTGTGTGTGTGTGTGTATGTGTGTGTTTGTGTCTGACTGTGTGTGTTTGTGTCTGATGTGTGTGTGTGTGTGTGTGTGTCTGACTGTGTGTGTTTGTGAGTGACTGTGTGTGTGTGTGTTTGTGTCTGACTGTGTGTGTGTTGTGTGTCTGACTGTGTTTGTGTTCTGTGTGTGTGTGTATGTGTGTGTGTGTGTGTGTTTGTGTCTGACTGTGTGTGTTTGTGTCTGACTGTGTGTGTTTGTCTGACTGTGTGTGTTTGTGTCTGAATGTGTGTGTTTGTGTCTGACTGTGTGTGTGTGCCTGACTGTGTGTGTGTGTTTGTGTCTGACTGTGTGTGTGTGTGTGTTTGTGTCTGACTGTGTGTTTGTGTCTGACTGTGTGTGTGTGTGTTTGTGTCTGACTGTGTGTGTTTGTGAGTGTGTGTGTGTGTCTGACTGTGTTTGTGTCTGTGTGTGTGTGTTTGTGTATGTGTGTGTGTGTTTGTGTCTGACTGTGTGTGTGTGTGTCCGACTGTGTGTTTGTGTGTGTGTCTGACTGTGTGTGTGTGTATTTAGAAGGTGGGGCGGGGGGAAGGGTTGGGTGGGGGTGGCACGGGGGAGGGAGGTGCCTGAGTTTTGTCCTGCCTAGGGCAGCACAAAACCAGGATACACCACTGCGTGTATATAGCTGAAGTATCATCTATTGTACTAAAGGAAGGATGTGTTTCTCTATTTCATTACATCTATTCCATTTTTTGCTTTCAAACTTTATGAAAGGATTATTATATTACGAAATAGTTTTGAGGTGACAGTTGTCCTTTAAGGCTCTATACCATTCTACAGGGAGTGCAGAATTATTAGGCAAGTTGTATTTTTGAGGATTAATTTTATTATTGAACAACAACCATGTTCTCAATGAACCCAAAAAACTCATTAATATCAAAGCTGAATATTTTTGGAAGTAGTTTTTAGTTTGTTTTAGTTTTAGCTATGTTAGGGGGATATCTGTGTGTGCAGGTGACTATTACTGTGCATAATTATTAGGCAACTTAACAAAAAACAAATATATACCCATTTCAATTATTTATTATTACCAGTGAAACTAATATAACATCTCAACATTCACAAATATACATTTCTGACATTCAAAAACAAAACAAAACAAATCAGTGACCAATATAGCCACCTTTCTTTGCAAGGACACTCAAAAGCCTGCCATCCATGGATTCTGTCAGTGTTTTGATCTGTTCACCATCAACATTGCGTGCAGCAGCAACCACAGCCTCCCAGACACTGTTCAGAGAGGTGTACTGTTTTCCTCCTTGTAAATCTCACATTTGATGATGGACCACAGGTTCTCAATGGGGTTCAGATCAGGTGAACAAGGAGGCCATGTCATTAGATTTTCTTTTTATACCCTTTCTTGCCAGCCACGCTGTGGAGTACTTGGACGCGTGTGATGGAGCATTGTCCTGCATGAAAATCATGTTTTTCTTGAAGGATGCAGACTTTTTCCTGTACCACTGCTTGAAGAAGGTGTCTTCCAGGAACTGGCAGTAGGACTGGGAGTTGAGCTTGACTCCATCCTCAACCCGAAAAGGCCCCACAAGCTCATCTTTGATGATACCAGCTCAAACCAGTACTCCACCTCCACCTTGCTGGCGTCTGAGTCGGACTGGAGCTCTCTGCCCTTTACCAATCCAGCCACGGGCCCATCCATCTGGCCCATCAAGACTCACTCTCATTTCATCAGTCCATAAAACCTTAGAAAAATCAGTCTTGAGATATTTCTTGGCCCAGTCTTGACGTTTCAGCTTGTGTGTCTTGTCAGTGGTGGTCGTCTTTCAGCCTTTCTTACCTTGGCCATGTCTCTGAGTATTGCACACCTTGTGCTTTTGGGCACTCCAGTGATGTTGCAGCTCTGAAATATGGCCAAACTGGTGGCAAGTGGCATCGTGGCAGCTGCACGCTTGACTTTTCTCAGTTCATGGGCAGTTATTTTGCGCCTTGGTTTTTCCACACGCTTCTTGTGACCCTGTTGACTATTTTGAATGAAACGCTTGATTGTTCGATGATCACGCTTCAGAAGCTTTGCAATTTTAAGAGTGCTGCATCCCTCTGCAAGATATCTCACTATTTTTGACTTTTCTGAGCCTGTCAAGTCCTTCTTTTGACCCATTTTGCCAAAGGAAAGGAAGTTGCCTAATAATTATGTACACCTGATATAGGGTGTTGATGTCATTAGACCACACCCCTTCTCATTACAGAGATGCACATCACCTAATATGCTTAATTGGTAGTAGGCTTTCGAGCCTATACAGCTTGGAGTAAGACAACATGCATAAAGAGGATGATGTGGTCAAAATACTCATTTGCCTAATAATTCTGCACTCCCTGTATACTCTAAACAACTTTAAGACTGAAAGTAGAGCAAATTAGCAAAGACGTATCCAGCAACTCCTGGTATATGGGTGGGTGGAAAAATATTTTTGTGTAGCCACCAGTCGGCTCCATATTTCTAGTCTTTACTACATGCATGGAGTACAAAAGGCTTAGAAAGCTAGGGAAATACACAATTGAAAGTACTTAATAGCCATATGAATGCAAGCAATATGGCAGGCACACTGTTCTTATTAAATTGTAATCATGTTGTACATCATGTAAAAGTTATTCATAGTGAAGTTAAGGAACCAATACACTTTAAACTTTGCTATGATTCTGGGGTGTTGCTGGTTCCTTTGGGTCTTGAGTCCAGCACAAAACCTAACCCCTCCCAAACTTTGCTTCTGGTCACTCCCAACACCTCACCCCTGACCACTCCCAAACTCCAATCTATCTGCTCACTCTAAAGCCTGTTAATCTATTCAAACTGCATCTTTTTAACATCCTCCTGCTCCTCCTTACTGGTCCCAATATATCTTTTTGTTGCCTCCAATGATCTGTCTCACCCCCACAGTGCTCTTTCTCACTCTCCCACTGCTCCTTCGTACCCCCACTGCTCATTCATAACCTTCTACTATTGTCTCACCCCGACTCTTCCATCTGACCTTGTCATTATTCCTTCTGATCCTCTACTGCTTCTATTCATCCCTCCCTGCTCCTTTTCACACTCCCGCTGCCCCTTCTCTCCTTCCCACTGCTTTTTCACACCCCTACTTTTCCTTCTTTCCCTTAATTGCTTCTTCTCACTTCCATTGCTTCTTCTCACCATGGACTGCTCCTTCTCACCTCCAATCCTGCTTTATATCATTCCACTGCTATGTCTTGCTGCTCCCTGCCTCCTTCCCACTCCCTGATTCATCTTGTCACTGATACCCCTTTCAATGACAGTCCGGTTTCTGCTGTCCATTTATGAGTGTGTGTGGGAGTGTGATTGGAAGTGCAAAGAAGGGCAGAATGTGGTAGGGGACATAATATTACTTACCTTCCTTCCATAGGTATGACAGTCATAGGGCAGCTCTCCTCTTCCATTCCTTCTTTCTCAGTTGGCCAAAGATTATCACAGTGTTTAATTGAAAGCAATCTTAACATTTATGGTAGTAGTTGCCATACAAATGTATGTATCTTCATTTTTGCTTTCCATATACGTTGTTTTAAGTTGCACATATTGGGTACATGGCAGCTTATAGCTTATTTTTGTTTTTTTAGTAACAGCTATCAACATATCAACATACGTATGCACTTCAGAAAGCTAATCTCTCAGACATTTCATGGACGGTATGAAAGGGAATGGCCTCCTAATCTTATTTAGAACCATCCAGCTACTCCCAAAACATACAATATAAGCAATAATCGGTAGATATGTACAGAGCTTTGTTGTAGACAAAACAAAAATGGAACTTATTCATTGGATACAAAATGGTTCTTTTAATGTGGGTCAGAACTGGTTTTGTAAAGAGATAGTTTTATCTTTTTTTAAAATATTATTTTCACACAAACCCGCCACTTAGACCAAAGCTGGACAGATGTCTCAAATTAGAAAATGTTAATACAGCGACTAAACATTACATTTGTCAACAGAAATGGGCACACTAGGTGGGCTAAGTGATCCTTATCTGGTGTTAGTTTCTAATAACACTGGCATTAGGATTACATGTCATATCTAGACAGGAGAATGCTTTCATTTGACAGGTTCATTCAAATAAGGTTGCAGAAGAGAAAGTCTGCACTTGTCATGCCTTTTCTTTCAGCTTGGTATGTTGACACAAAGTGTGGTAGCTCAAATGACATGGACAAAATGCAGTAATATCAACATACACTCTGTAATACCTTTTTGATGGAACTATATCAATTCAATTTTGAAGTAAAAATTATCCAAAGGAAGCTGTTTGTGTTGCTCTGTGTCAATCTCCCAAGATCAGTTGCACTATTGTAGAACTAAGTTGATTAATACAAGATTTGGTTTTGATGAAACTTGATGACACATTATTTGGACAGCAACTTGTTATTATGAATTGTCATGTTTTTTTTTTCTTTCCTTATGGTCTCCGTATCCTAGTATCTTAACGATCATACCCTCTTCCCATTATTTATATTTATTATGTTTTCTACCTTGTGCTGAATCTCAATACCTGGGTACATCCATTTTGTTCTACTCTGCCCTTGATGTCTGCTCTTTGCCCTTCTATGGGATTTTGTATATATTTGATTGAAAACTAAAGCACACAGAAAAATAATAAAAAGAAATTCATATACAGGGAGCTATAGGCAGATTAGATAATGTGTAACTTTGGTGACAGAGTGTGACAATGGGAATTAATTCTGAAAGAAGGAAATATAATAATTGCTTCTGAAATGATTAATATTCCGCAAAAGGCCAGCAGGCACCCAGTCCAAAAGGGAATAAAAGCCATAGAACAGGAGAGGAGTGATGTATTTGAATTTGAAGATTCTCAAGAGAAGCAAAATATAAACAGAAAAATGAGTGGGTCTCCAACTGAAATCATTAGCAAGGAGAGATTTGTGTTGGGAAAAAGAGGCATTTGTATGTGGCCAATGGGTATATGGAAGTCATCAATGAAGCTTTGAAAGCGGAAAGAGACTGAATAAGATGTGAGGTGTCAGGGATCAAGGGGGCCAGTGAGGTGTGGGATTTTAGAAGCAATGTAGAAATTTAGAGAGTAAATAGAGCTAAAATCAAGATGAGTGAAAGAAGAGATAACTGTTTTAATTTGATTAATTATTGATCAATCTTTTCAGTAAAGTAGACTGTAAGTGTTGCTAGCTGTAATGTTATTTAATGGTGATGTTATGAGCTGGATGCATTTGGGATCACAAGTGAAGAAAACTTGCCTAGCAAGGAGAGGACTGAGCTGTAAGAAAGTAATGTGAATTTTGTGATGCAAGAAATTTTCCAGAAACACTCAGCTGTACAAAGACGTATTTAAAGGTAATGGGCTAGTTTGTGTGTTAAGATGGGTGGTGCAGATACTCTTCTGCCTCGAGTTGGGGTCACCTGTAATTGCACTAAATGTCTTAATATTTTTGCTGTATTCTCAGTGACCATGTTGTAACTGTAGTACTGTTTCCTTTTTGTATTTCGATTGCTAACTATCGGTATACTTCAATAAATAACGAATAAAAATGTTTTAAAAAAAAGATGAGTGGTGCAAAGGGAAATTTGTGCTTTTTGTTGTTTTTTTCCAGGATGGTAGAAAAAACGTGAAGTGAAACAAGAAATAAGAGCTCAAATGAGAACTGTTACATCTCAAGATGTTCTGCTTTTCTTGGTGGGTTAGGTTTACGATGATGGCTGAGGGGCACATAGAGAACACTAGTTAAGAGATGGTGGTGAAAGACAACAAAGGGTTGTTATACAAGCTAAGGTATGAGAAGATGAGATCAAGAGTGACATCAGCAAGTAATTGAAATGAATTGTGCTTCTGAGATAATAGGTGGGTAAATCCGGATGTTGAAGCCAGATTTAAGGAAGTGGAATGAAGTATCAGATGAGAGTAAATGTTAGGGACCAGGAACCAGACAGAGACAGAACTAAATGCAAAAACACCTTTATTAATAAATAGCAAATAAAGCAAAGTCCAGGAGGCAAGCAGGGGTCAGTCACCAGAGCGGGTAGTCAGACGAGCCAGGATCAGGAGAACGGAGAGCAGCGAAGTCAGGAACAAGGCCAAAGTCAGGAACAAACAGGAACAAGGAGACTTCTGGGGAAGAGGAAACCACGCAAGGGCAAGGAGGTACTGGGATTTGCTGCTTAAATAGGCTGCGCTGATTAGCAGCAGGGTTGATTACTATTCTCAGGTGAGTAACCGTGGCAACATACTGAAGGAGCTGATCTTTAATCTCAGATGAAAACTCAGACACTGAAAAGGGAAGGGTGGCTGTTTAACCCCTTAAGGACCAAACTTCTGGAATAAAAGGGAGTCATGACATGTCACACATGTCATGTGTCCTTAAGGGGTTAAAACAGCAAATAAACCCTGACAGTAATAGAGGAAGAAAGGGTCAAAGATTATGAAGGATGAACAAGGGGCAATAGATGATGGCAATACAAGCAGATATGACATTGAAGATTCATAAAATGGAAGGTGAGAATTGGCTTGAAAATTTCAGCAAGGGGAAAGCGGATTTATACACCACACCTTGTTGTCGCATGGTGACAACAAGATGGGTCAGTGGAAGGCCATGTAGAATAAAGAGGCAGCAGTGTTACATGGAGACAGTTGGGTTTCTGTTATTCCTTTATTAAGTTAACAAGAGAGGAAGAGAACAATGAGAGCAGTTAATTTAATTATGTTACAGATAGAGCTGTAGTAGAATAGAGTGTGTAGTAGAATAGGGTAGTGGAGGTGAAGGTACAGTATATTTGTATGTGATTTGCTATAGCCACTGAAGATAAGGACAGGGATAGGAATCCATGATTTAGGGAGGTGTCCCAATTGCTAAAAGCAATGGAAGGAACATGAGCAAAAGGAAGTTCATAATATTCTTCCCACCTACTATCTACCATAAGACTTCAATATTATAGCAAGCGCTCTGTGTGAATAGCAAAGTTGTGAAGGGCATTATGAATACAGTTATATTTATGATAATATATATATTGCTCTATAGTACATTTCTTTTTACATAACTTGTATTGTTTTAGTTTTATGTCCAGCAAAAAAAAAAAACAGTATTTACCTAGGAATCTCAAACTCAGCTTACCACCGACCAAGTTGTCTTCTCCTGAGGCTCACTTACACATAAATACATACTCTCAGATACATACCGGTAAGTATATACACTGCCAGACACAAACACTTCTGTACACACAACTAGTACTTACAGCATTAACCCCAAACTTGTATCAATGAACCTACACTCAATGCATAACGCACATACACATTCCTATACCCACATGCTCAGATACGCACAGTCATACATTCACAAATACACACAGTCACACACATATAGACATGTAAATAGATACACATTCAAAGATATACACATAAACATACCCACATATACACACATATACACACTCACTTAAACACACAAAATAATGTGGTAGAGAGCAGAAAGACATATCCAAGTATTTTTCTCCATCTCTTTTGCTTCAACTTGCCCTCCTCATCCTACCAGTAATATAGTGCACCTACACCACAGGCCAGTTACAGGATACCCAGTAAGATACCAGGCACTTGGTAACCTGCAAAAAGGTAATTAAGGAGGGCTGGAAACAGTGACCAAAATAGAGGAGTCCCTGCTGTTCCACCTCTTAATATCAGCAGTAACCCTTATAGCCAGAGCATGGAAATCGCCACAAACTCCATCCAAGGAAGCCCTAACACAACAAATAAACATTAATTGGCAATACGAAAAGATGGCACATAAACACATTGGACCAAGGAAACACATACACATTAGCTAGTGAGAGGTGGGAAGAGTACAAGGGTAAGGGACAAAGTGGGTCGATGACCATGAGTGGGCACAAAAAGAGCACAGGGAAAGAACGACCAACAAAGAGCTAGGAGATGGGAAACCCAGAAGTAACGACACATAACACGCAGCAACATTAGCACAGGTGGTACTCCTAAAGACCACGAGAACCTTTATGGAAATGGGCAACTCAATAATTTAGTCTGCGCTGAGTAGGCCACCTTAAACCCAAGCGCCCAGAGACTAGAGCAGAACCATGTGTATAATGTATGATGTATGACGTATGATGTATGACTCATGTGATGTAACATGAAAAGACATGGAACCTTTTTGTTTTTTGAACCTTTCCTTCCCCCATATCCCTTTCTTTTCTGTACCCCAAGTTTTATAACAATGTAAAACAATAAAAATTATCAAATTGAAGAAAAAAAAAGGAGGGCTGGAAATGTTCAAACCGGGGATGGGGGGCGGGGGTTAAAATATTTAAATGGAATTAATGCATTATGATGCTAAATTGGTTTTCAATAAGACCACTTTCTAAATATTATTGTTGTGCATATAACTATTAATAATGCGTGATGTATTTACTCTCTTTTTGATTAATTCTTGATATCACCATTTCTACTTTTAATTATTATCAATTATTCAATTTTCAGTTAATGTAAAAAACCCAATATTAACAATGTATTGAAGTTATTTTATTAGTACTTGTTACTAACGATAACAAAACGTCCTGTTTGTCAAAATAAAGATGCTTTGCTGTGAAGTTCTACCAATTGCTTAGTGCTTTAGAATTTGCTCTTCTTTCCAAATAATTATAATAATATAATGCTCATTTCAGTGTTCATGTGTCATTAACCCTCTGGGGTGTTGCTGAGTAATCAACCGATTAACTTGAGCATCACTGAGCACTATGTTACATTTTACCCTTGGAGAGTTCAAAGTCAGTTATCCCTGGGAACAGCATTTAACAGCTGCCGTAAGATAATAGCTCTAAATTAAAACAAATACACACAAGTCAACAAAGTGTTGATAAAACATTCATACGTTTGGTAAAAATAGATATATCCATGTGGCTAATCCATTTAGTCTCTTTCTGAAGTTACAGTTTTTGGCTATCCCCACCCCTACGTAGGTGTGGGACACTGTCAATTATTTGAAACCGTAATTGAATAACACTATGCCCTTTTTGTTTAAAATGTCTTGGTACCGGAGATTAACTTGTTCCTCTCTGCAATGTTGCCCTAATGCCTCTCTTGTGCTCTCCTATACGTTCCTCTCTCCCACAATCGGAACGGAGTCAGTTGATGTGAGTTTCCAGTAGAGAAATGGAAAACGGATTTAAAGAATAACAATAATGATATATGGTGTTATATGCAGAATACCTGGTGTTAACTAAAGGGACACTCTAAACAGTAGTGATTCTGATGCCGTAAGGGTATATCCTCAGTTGTTTCATGTCAAAGAAATTTTGATTTTATGGGTCACTGGGAGTTTTTGTTTGTTTAAATTGGTCTAGGGTCGCAGCACGCTAGACAGGACCACCTATACTTTGAGAGATATATAGGCAAGTGAAGAATATACTGTCACTTGTCAAGGCAATCTGTTAGGTAGTTGGGCAGTATCTTAGAGGAGAGGCACATGAGCCCAGATATTTATATTACAATGTAGATCTTAGCATATTATTATTATTATTATTATGATATTTATAGAGCGCCGTCAAAATCCGCAGCGCTTTATATTTAGATGGGCAATCTATGGAAGAGGAAAGTTGAGAACAAACTCTTATTCTTGAGGGTAAATTTCACTTCATTAACGCACCTAATGTAGCAAACGCAGTGATTACCTGACTTAAGAAGTGCACTGCACATTCTGGTTGCAAGATCGGTGCTATAGCCTTTGGGAGATTAATGATGAGCTGTCCCTTGCAGGATATTTATAAGTATACCCTGCCTAGCAGTGCTAAGATAGAAAGTGTTCCCAAAGTTATATTGCCAGACATATGCACCGCATCCAGAGCAATCATTCCTTTATTGAAAGCTCTAAATACTGTTGACAGTTGCTACTTTTTGCTGATGAATATAAAGAAACCTATTGCACATAAATTAATAAAGAAAATAACGTATATAGGAACTTGGTACCACATTCACTACTCATTACAAACAGTATATAGGAGTAGTGTGCTCTAAATACACACTCATAGCACAGTTGCAGGGAGAACATTGATATTTCCACCATTTCAAAATGAAGGAGGACTACAAAGGTAAGAAAAACTCTACTAACATGAAATAAAATAAATAAAAAGATTTTTTTTTTTAATTGCTTGAATGAACATAACATGTTCACTGTATTATCCTATAAAACGACTCGGGTAAGAATAAAAGAAATAATATGCAAATAGATTAAAACACAAGCACACTATATTGTTTATATATTTTTTTTCTTGTAGTAACCCTATCACTACATTTTTTATGTACACAAATCAGCTTACAATAACATTCTTAACAGATCATTTTTTTTTATTAGCATTTACGAAAAGTAACAGTTTTGCACTATGGTGCTGGACATCTTGGAACTGCATCACAATTTAGAAAAACGTGACATTTGCTGGTTATAAAAAAAAAAGGCAGAACATATCTGTGATCCACCAAGCAGCTCTGAGCTCTCGTACAAATAAAATTG